TGCCCGTATACGTCTAAAACAGCTATTTTGTTTATCACTGGTCCTTTTTTTTTTTTTGCTATGTACAAAAACTTTTTAGTTTTTCCATTACATTTTCGAAAGTTTCCAGTTCATTAATCGTACACTCATATACGTCATGTAAACACGACTTTTCACGCCGAAAACTTCACAAGCTTCTAGCCTTGAGATTAAACGATAGCTGTTGCCGTCGTAGGTATAGATAACTTTAAAAACGTTACCATCTTAAAAGTCTCTCATAGTATACACAGATAAACTGCATAGGTACGCATTGGTAAAATTTACCAATACCTTTTAAAAGTCCTTAAGAAGTCGATTTTCGAATATTTAACACAAAGCCCCCTAAGAAGTTTCTAAATATAATACAAATTAAAAAAAAAACGAAGAATATTAGTTTTAACCCGTGTCCCACAAGGGTTGAAGTTTAAATCAGATTTAACATAGGTTTTTGACACTTGTGCATAAATCAATGAATAACCTTTGATGTATTTATAGCCTAGAGTCTGCTGAACACGTACACCATGTCCAAAACTCACTCTGTCAAATTTGCTGCTAAAACATGAAAATTCATCGGAAAATAGGTGTTTTCGGTTAGGTTAACATTTTTTTAATATAATTTTCGAAAAAGAAAAATCATTAAAGAGTTGTTTTTATTTTTTATAATAAAAATTCAAGTTTGTTCCATCATTGTTAACTTTATTTCGAACATCGTTTTATGTCGCTAGTCGAGTCTATACTCCGTGCTACAAGAGAACGCATCTGCGCAGAAACGAAAACGCGTTACTCCTAAATGCGCAGAAGTATATTAATCTTGTACTATGTTACTAAAATGTATAATATAAACCGAACTCAAGTATTATGTTTTTGGCCACTGCGACGTTCCACGTAAACAACAATAATATTTAATTGGTTATTAAAAATAGGAACTTTAGAAACTTTTTAGTGGCGTCGAGGTTGAAATTCGAAAATCGACTCTTGAAGGACCACCCTAAGTCTGCTGGCAGATATTATATTCTTCGTGACGTTGTAACCATAGTGACGGAGATGACATTTAGGAATTGAGATGTACGCAAACATCTCAATGACGGAAGGGCGAGGGAATATGAAGGTGCTGCTACCCGCGTGAACGTCGGGCCAAAAGCTGAATTTCCTTAAAAAACACCAAAATACTTTTTAAGTGCTCGCGATACGGTTCATTAGGCTGAAAAAAACGGTTTTATAAGTACGACAACTATAATATTATACTGTATCGTCAACTTTCAACTGGCATCACCCACAGGCCACAGTCCACACGTGCGTGGTGGAAAAGTTGAATAGATTACTAAGCGGTTATAAACCGAATATTTCTCCATACATGTTAACGTGTAAACTTTATTTCACAAATTCTACAACGTGTTTTATACGTCTTGTACAATGATAATAGGACGTAGCTTCTCAAGTAGACACAAAATAAGATACCAAAAATCCATCATAGGTTTATCCTGCTGGGTTTTACAAAAAAAATACAAACCATAGGATTATTACTTTTTGCTAACTTTGTCCATGTGTTTTTTAATTTTGCTACGATTAGATCAATTATTATTAAATATGGTAATCCAATGTACCTAATAACCTTGTAACTTGATCTATAGGTAGCACATAACTATAATATGTTGTTCGTATATATTTTCCATATACATTACGACCTTTTAGGATGCCAAACACACTATTTTGTTTGCCAAATTTAAAAATGATATTTTTCCAATTATAGTGGTCGTAAATCCTAAATTTTGACAACACTTAAATACCAATATTTTAGCATCGCGCTTATTGATACTATATTATTTTAGTATTTAATGTGTTAATTTTAAATTTTAAATAAACTCCGTTTTATTCGAAATAATATAAATAAAGCTAAGAAAAATATTTTACACGACCCCTATATGACGAACGGCAATAGATTACTTTTTAAAATGTTTAAATTTTACTATTATTGAAAACAAAATAGAACTGTTGGGTAGATTTTTTTATCCAAAACAACAATCCTAAATGTGTTATAACAGTTATCTTTGGTTAGGTTAAATATAATTTTATTTTAGCAGCATGATTGGCAAAGTGACGATGCTGAAATACATAAAATAGATATTAAAGATCGTTATTGTTCAAAAACAGTTAAGAAAGAGAAAGCCTTTTCATTACAATGATTAAAAAAGAAAACATGCAAAGGCTTTCATTGGGGCGTAGGGCTTAAAATTTATAACTGTGCTTGCATTTTGTATGGTAAGTTATTATATTATACTCAAATAATCCAAATGAATTGTTTAACTATTTCAGTGTTAGTTAGATTGGTTTAGATAATGAATATTATCGCTTTAATATATTATGTTTATGGAACTTATAACTGCCATGTTATTAATGAGGTCTGAAAATAGAGTTCAGCAGTGATCGCTTATTCATTTATCAGTTAACGCTGACTTTTATTGTAGGTAGACTTTTTTTTCAATGCAATTAGCTTTAATCGTTTTCATTTAACCGGTGATTAATTAGTTTTCATGGAACGGTTATTTTTCCAATTGAGTTGTAGTTATATTGATTAAGTTGTAGTAGAAACTTCTATTTTTTATTTAACAATATGCTTTTATTTTTTGGTAGGCTCAGGACCATTATTTTATTTTTCCAGCTAACTTCTTTGAAAAATATATTGGTATTTTATCGACTTTGCTTAGCATCAAGCATATTCCAACTCATTTTTCCGTAATCGTGTATTCTGTAATCACATAACTTAGTAGTAAGGTAGGTTCTTTGCTACTAAAATGATGCAGTTAAAGTAATACCTGCCTTAGAATTTACCAAGAGAAACATTGAATTGTCTTTTATTTGGTGCATTTTTATTTAATTACAAAAAAATGTTTGATTTGAATCACTTTTTATTAAGTTCCGGTATTTGTTTTAAAAAAAAAAAGGATACATATACTTACCCCGATACAAAACAGATAATCAGCTAATGTCATAAGTACCAACTTAATAATAAAATAAATAATATCATAGTAATTATAACATAATATTGTTAACATAGTTTTTGAAAATTAAAAATGGTAAATTTATATAAAAACTAAAAAAATGTCATTATACTTATAACATAGATTAACTAAATAAATCTTAATTAAATGGGTGTAAGTGTATTTGCAATAGATAACAAAATATTTAGAAAAGAGCAAGACATATTGTAATTTTATTTTATTTTTTAACTGTGAAAGCTAATGAATTTACTACTTGAATATTTTCTTGATACACATGACTACATTGTAATTAAAAATTATGAATTCCGCTTAATATATACATATTTATAGTATATTAATTTGTAATACTTATTCTGCATTTGAAATATATTTTTCCTCTGGAGGACTTATAGTTTCATAAATAACTCACTGGCGCGAAAAGCAAAAAAGCAAAAAATAATAATAATAAAATGTGTTATGGATATAATATAAAGTGTTACCTTTTTTTATTTCATTAAATTCTCTTTTACTCTGCACACCTTTTTTTTGTCGAGTGTCTATATTATATGGACTTTTTTTTTAATATAGAAAATGTTAGATAAATATTACCTTTGAAATACATTTAAGAGAGTGTGTAAGAAACCGTGAATTTTTTACCATTTCAATAACCAAACGCTTGAAGTTGTAGCCTGTCCAATGTACATGATATATATTATATCCGTGAAAAGATGTACATTTTATGTAGTAAGTTTGTGCTGTCGGTTTGGTAGATTCCTATTTTTTTATTGATAGTGTGCATTTGCGAAATGGATTTTGTTTTATTTTTTCTGCTACGGGTCGACATCACGTTGTTACTGTGTCTATTGCCGCACATAATGATCAAAATATATATACACCTATACAATATTATATTGACGGGCTTTACGGTTTATTGTGTCAAAATAATATATATATTTTTTTTTTATTAATACAACCTGTATAAAAACGAAAATATTACAAAAACTGACATTACAAAATACGTTATTTTTCCTCTTCCCAAACACATAACTGAATCTGAATTTGTTTTTTTACTAATAGGATTCGTTTTACTGAAATTGCGTTACATAATTACTATGCTGGATTTTCTGAATATTTTACAGAGTTTGTGTAGTTTAATAATATTAAATAAAGCCTTTTAGCAATTCAAAATGAATAAAATTGCCAACTAGCAGTTTTCAGATCTAAACATTTAATAAAAAAATAATTACATTATATTCTAATAAGTGTATTTAGAAAAAAAAATAATAATAATTCCACGCACACAATATTTGTAACAGTAAATCCAATTTCCACGGGTATTGAGAAAAACGAGTAATTTTTATTGTTAAATATATGAAAAATATTTTAGTTGGAACTAATCAATGAAAACAAACAACTGATCGAATTAGTGAATGGACAACGGAGGTCCTGGATGTGTATGAGCACACATAATAAACTAATAACAGTAATTATTGTTAATTTACATTACATACATATAAAACTATTTTAGAGTAAAACGAACTAACTCATAATATTATGTTATTAACGTTTAAATGATCGTCGGTTTATTAAAAAGTCTAGCTACTCAAACAAAACGTCAGAGGTCTTATACATGAACTAACTTAATTTATGATCCATCCTACTAGACGACACTTTCCAAGAACCACACAATAATTATTATATTATTTTACAAGCGAGCGCTATGTGTTATGAAGGCTGAAGCTAATAGCATTGATAACATAATTAATGCTAATAGTATGAAACACAAACCATCGCTTGAGGCCAATAGATTTTATCGACTGCCTGACATTATTCAACTGTCTTACTCTCCACAAAGATATGTAAGCTTGGCAAGTTGCCCTACTTAGTTAGTTTTACGCTCAGGAAAAAGTTATACGAGTCAAATTAATTTTGATCATTGGTATGAACAAAATATTATCATAACTTTATAAATAATATTTTATTGATAGATACAAAAAATGGAAATTTGGGTCAGAATGTCTTGAGAACATTTAATAAAAGTCATACAAATCAATTAAATTATATAAAATATAATTTTTATTATTTGAAATGGATGTTTTGAATGTTTTCATTTGATTAAATTGACAAACAAAGACGAATAAAGAAATGATGCAACTAAATCTACTATTTTTTTGTGCGCTTAAATGAACTAGCCTTAAATGTTTGCATGATTCGTAATTTGTGCCAACAATGGTAAAAACAATGTAGACCAAAACAAACAATAAAAATGTAATGAAAATTATGTATGCTATCTTCTATTTAAAACTAAGTGTTGCTAAAAGCTGTTGACCGGTGGCCATGACCATTGATTTGATTTGATTGGCTTGATTTATTTTTTGACATGTAATTACATAGTTTTGGTACTCATCTTGAAGAACGGTATCATTTGTGGCTTCTGCTGGTAAAGTGTTACACAAGTCTTCAACGGACATGTTATGCGATAAGTAATCTAATATATCTAAAATATGAAATAATTGTTATAAATATATTTTCATATACTATTTTCGAATGAAAAGGGTTTAAAGTTATAGTGAACTCACCATGTAAAATCTCATTATACTTTGAATGACATTCCATTTCCGTTTGACATTTTGATTTATTTTCTAATAAATCAATTGTGTACTTCCAATCGGTCACAGATTTTAGGCAATCCTAAAAAAATAAATAATGTTTATTTAAATATTAATATTTCAAAAAAAAAAAAATGATAATAATAATACTTACAGTTGTATACTTAAGAATAGCTTGAGGACATTTGTCTACAATTATTTCTATAGTATATTTTGTATTTGGCGAGGACATAATTTCTAAACTTAGCTGAGGCTTGTTCAACATAGGAAGAACTTGCTTAATATCTTCTACAAAATCGTTGGTTAACCAGTTAGTATAAAATAAACTTTGCAGTTTGATTAAGTTTTCGTTATGTCTATTAAAGCATGGTAACACTTGAATATAACCAGGTATTTGAGAGTGGTACATGTTTTTCCAATCGTTCATATTATTTTGTTTATTGTTTTCGGTCATTGGTTTAGTGAGATCTGTTAAGTACTGACGAAATAATATCTAGAATCATAAAAAAAAAAGAATTAATTACTTAAATGTAAATTTTATGAATATTAAATTGACTCAAATTAAGATATCACTAAAAATATGTTGAATATTTAAGGGGAAAATACCTTAATAGCATCACAGACATATTTCTTAGTAAGGTCAGGCTTTTTATCGGCACTGTAGGCACATGAAAAGTGTAGCTCGAGAAATCTCTTAAAAGTTTCAGTAACACATGTATTGTATATATGAGATCCAATGTACTTTTGAAATGCTTGAATGATTCTTCTTAATTTTATAGATTGATTAGATGTGACTATTTCAGCAAGACCTTTGGCCATTAAAATTGAAGTTTCTTGCATTAAAACAATAGAGAAGTCTGAAAATGATGTGTCCTATAAATAAATATTAAATTAGACATAATTAGACATAATTAGATATTACATAATCCTAATATTGTATAATACTGTTTTAAAATATTTTTTACATTAAAATATAGATTCTTAAACCAAAATCGAGCACTTCAAAATCGGCCACTTGATATTTTACAATAAAAATTGTCTTTATCAAGTTAAAGCCCATTGAAACTGATAACTGATTACTTGATAACTTAATAAAAAAAACAATTTTACAAAAAAATACCAAAAGAAGAATTTATAAGTATCATCTAAAGATGATACTAAAAAGCATTAATATTTATTTAAAAAATTTTGATGATTTTTTAAGTTGGATTTTTTTTAAATGAAAAATGAAAAATTTCCAATGCAAAAAAAATTCATAAGGAAATACTTAGAGTTGAGCTAGGGATCTGAAATTTTACAGATTTTAAACTCAATAGCCCGCTATTGATTAAAAAGGTAAACATAGGGAAAATAAGATAATTAAATGAATACACAAGTAAGAATTTATTAATAATTGCCAATTTCTATAAACAATAATCTCACCTGTTGAATTAGTAAATTAGCATGAGATACACAAAACTGTACAAATGATTTATTTGACACTTCATCAGCTTCATTATACAAATCAATAACATTTTTAGTATCAATACTAGTTATTGAATATAAAAAAAGCAAAGTAAATGTTAAAGCGCCTTTACTCTCATAACTATAACAAAAATAAAAGAACAAATTATTAATGTTTAAAACTATTTAATTTCAAATTTTTCTGGTTACAGTACAAAAATTTATTTTTTTATATTTTATGTGAGGTTAAATATGATCAATATTAGTATAAAACGTTATTATGCAATGATTTTTTGTTAGAAAGTGGGAGGATCAAGTTAAAGAAGATCTAAAAAATCTTGGGACTGCTGAATGGTGAAAAGCTGGCATTACATAGAGAATTGTAGAGAGATATTGTGGAAGCCGCAAATGGGCCTAACTGGCCAAGAATAAGCCTTAAAAAGAAAACATTTATAAGTTTATCATGTTTAATGATAAGTTTAGTCAATAAATATTTTTATTATTCCATTTGTTTTCTATTTATTAATTATATTTTTAATTTTAAATGTTATAATAAAGTTTGGAGCCATGTTTTTATAGTTTATGTGTTACAAAAATGACTAAAAATTTAAACTTGTATACTATTTTAAATTATTGGACCCAAAAATGATCTGATAATAAGATAATGGTAATAATTATACGGCTGTAATAAATGTATAGCTCAATACATTGGAAAATCAATAGCTTCTCAGCTATGTATCAAGACACATTCTTTCTTACCTAAGTTCTAAGTTTTTTTGTATGTGTTTGATGGCAGTACTAAGGGGTAGTTTTCTTACAGCCTCCTCAGACAAAATTAACTCTGAAACGTACAGTAAATCAGAACTTTTTTCAGCCATTCTAATTCCGTATGTTAATGTTTTTAAATCAAATATATCGCTATGATCACGTATCCAACAGCGAATGTAATATTTAATTGCCGGCTTCGTATCCACTGGTTTTTTAACCTAACATTTTTAATCAGAATAATGCCAATTTGATTATCAAGTTAGAAAATAAGAACTTGAAATTCTAACTTACATGTTTGTACATATCTTCCAGTTGTTTCATTCGAACAAATACATCCATTGGTAATAATTTGGCAATTTCATAAAGTGTATAAGACCAATCCCATCCCAACTTTTCAAACCTACATTTATATAACATAATATACCTTGAAGCACACAAGTGCTACGTCCATTTTTTTCAAAATCGTGATTTTGGGTGTCCCTCAATTTGTGATGAAAAACTGAATCAAATGAACACCAGTGGTATGTCCAAAGAGCATAAATAATTGTTCAACTACAAATGACCGTAAAATTCTATGTCCTTAGTGGATTTTTTTTTAAGAGCTCAAGAGTTAAACCTCAAACCCATAAAAAGTGGACATAGCACTTGTGTGTTTTAAGGTATCAATATCATCAATTTTATTATAATTAAAATTGTTTTTTAACATAATTTTTAGTTATTGAATAATTTAAATATAGTGCTTACAAAAAGTAATAGTCAGCCACAAGACAGCAAAACTTCTTAAAATCATTACTACCCAAGCGGGCTGTTCCACATCCACAATAAGTGTACCTTTCTACAATATCCGTAAGGTTTAATGCTTCTTTCATTAAATGAATGTACTTATTTGGAGTTTTGAACCTAGAAATCCTTGCCTTAAACGTGAGAACTTTACAAATACTAGAGGGCGAAGGCAACATTAATGTATACATTGTCCAATTATTGTTTGTTCTAAAAAATAAATAAAAGAATATTAACTATCTATTTATAGTTATTTTTTTTTAGAAATTTTAAACTTACTTATGATCATTATTCAGGCTTGCTGAAGTGAAAATGATGAGATTGTTTTCTAAAAGAACCATGTCAACAGTTCCCAAAAAAGGTTTATGACCAATAAGAGTCACTCGCTCCGACAGAATTTGCGACTGTAATTAACCAATAAAATGTAACGCAAGTTTATTACGGTTGCTTTAAATATATAAAGCCTAAAACTAAACTTGTACAGGACTCGATGAAGGAAATAAACGTATCGTGTAAGTTTCTAAGCTAGACGTGGTTAAGACATGCAGCACTGATCGATCCATGGAAATGTTAACCACTGGTGATGTGAAGTTATATACTGTTATACATTTTGAAGGAGTTATCTGAGGAAAAAATTACATACTATTATATTTTATAATATAGTTTGAGTTACAAATTAAACAAATTAAACAAAGATTATACAAACTTTTTTGTTAGTTTTATCGTGTTTCACTAAAGAATGAAATACAAATGCTTCTTCTTTCAAACTTATTAAGCAATTTACGCAAGTTAAGTGATCATATGATGGTGAACGAAAACTAGAAGAATTTCCTTCTGAAACATTGAAAATCATAGAAGTCAAAGAAAACTACATAAGTGTTACCAAATATTATGATTTTATTTTTGTTATTAAAGAGTTAGTGTAAATTATTAATTTACTTGATTTACTGGAATTTTCGTGTCTTTTATATATCAAATGCAATAGTACATTTTTTATATGCTCATCTGTATTATGACATCTGCTTACATCTAACTCAAGTTGTAAAATTATTTCGACAGTCCAAATTACTGGATCAGCCCAAGGCTAACACAAAAACTACTGTAAATTCATAAAAAAAATCAATGGGTGTATAATTCCTACCTCACTTGCTTCAGACTCATTTACAGCAATAGGCAAATTCACTATATTAAATGGCGCATTCTCTTCTTGCAGAACAAGAGCACTATCGCCAAAACTTGGTGTCAATGTCATAATAGGAAAGCATTTTGGACTTATAAGATTTCTCAAATATAAATCATCTTTAGACTTGATTAGATGTGATAAGTCAATTGGCGTAGATAACAATATGCTTGCTTGTTTGTTTTCTTCAATGGCAGGTTTTGATGAAGTCGAACTGGATTTATTCCAATCTGATAATTTTGGACTTGCTAAAATTATAATAAATTAAGCTAGTATAAAATCATAATAATGCAGTACTTTAGTACTCGGTCTATTTACCTTTATGAATACGGAACATTTGAACTCGTCGATCTCCATAAGCAGAAATAATATCTTGTTCCATTTGGATACCACAAACATTAAATGATAGGTCTAACGCCATTACCCAAGGTTCAAAATCCAAAAATCTTAATCGTGATATATCATGTGTTTTCATAACCATTCTAAAAATATTAAGAGTACTAGCAGATGCAACAACAATGTTTGCAGTTTCCTAAAAAAAAAAACAATAGTTTAATAGTAATAATTTTATACCACCTACTCATCCTACAAAAAAAAAATGTTAATAGCATTTCGATAATACATTTATCATCAAGTGCATTTTTACTGTTTTAATAGAACAACGTTTGAAACTTTAGTAATAACTGACATTTTTTTCAGCATTAAAAACTCAAGAAGGCTATTATTGTATAACTATCACCTACAATACTAACTAGATTTCACAGAAAAAGTATGTATCACTTAGACTAAATAAATGTATACATATTAATTTATGAGTAATTATAAGTTAAGTTTTAAATTATTTAATAGTAGTGTATGGTATTTAATTGATTTACTAAATGAGTACAACATATTTTAGTATTACAGTAATGTAGGTAGTAGTATGTTTTTAATTATTTGAGAATGGGATTTAGTAATGTTAACAATACCTGACAACATGTAAATGTGTTTATTCTTGTCAACTTTAAAGGTAATTCAATCATATCCAGTGCATTGTCTCCAATCTGAGATCCTGTAGGTGTAACTCGGCCAGCTATTCTGGCTCGTAATGGTGGATTTCCCTGATGACATTGTTCCCAATTACAATAAATTCTTATGTACTGTGTATCTTGACCAGAACGTTTTTGCTTTGTCTCCAAAGTTACTATAAAGTTGCCAGTAACACAGTAAATCAGTTCGAGAGCTTGATCAACTGTAGGAATTGTGTACGTAGCTTGGGGATTCTTGGATAAGTCTCGAACCTCAATAGCATTATATGGCAGAGCGATTAGTAATCTATAGAAATGAACACATATTTTTAAGAAAAATAGATATATTTCGTTGTTCAATGGCGTAGGTATAATATTGTAAGTGACAAATTATAATTTACCGATTAGAAGGAGCTGATGTAAATGCAACGGGGTCCGCACAAGTGTCTACTTTTTGTCCTTCAAAATTATACGCAGTTATAACGCGTACCATTTTAAAATAAAAAACTAATTATTAATTGATCATAGTATTTTCCTATGATTTCTTGTTTAAAAAAAAAATAAACAATACATAAGTATTACAAGTGACAATGCTATCGAATGTTATCACTATTGTTATTGCTTATCATTTAAAGCATTACAATTGCAAAATTGATAAGGAAGAATTATCATATCAATAGCTACAGTCGCTGTAGAGTATTGAGTGTAGCTTGTAACTTGTAAGCCGTAGCTCGTAAGTATACAATGGTTTGGTATATTCTAGTACACCTACTATAATCTATTTATTTTTACTATTTGGTGTATGAAATATAATAATAATAATTTAAGTACTTAGAATAAGTTATAGTTAATACTAAAAAATATGTTCTTTATTTTACAATTGCAAATATCACGGGGCCTGTATAGACGAACATGTTTATAGCTAAATAGCAAAAATAAAAGAAAAAAATATATACCTAATATCAATTCCAATCTAAAGACGATTTCTTGACCATGTTAGTACTTAACAATCTAGTTAATAATTAATTATAATTTGTATGAAAATGTAATATCATTTTTGTCAGTTATTAAATCAAAAGGCCTACCGACACAGTAGGCATACATTATTTCGCAATTTTGTACGACGAAAGGTATAATTATGAAGTACCCAGTATGTCTATTGTATGTCTATTGTATGTCTGTCATCTGTGGTGTGGAATGTACCTACTATGTAGACGTTTTAAACGTCAATTGTCAGAAATATAAGTAGACGAACACCTAGGTTTTAGTTAAAATTAAAAATTTTTGAGTACTATTTTTGGTATACACTACCTATAGTGGCTAGTCGTGATAGGTACAGTAACCACACAGAATTGGGTATTTCAAAACCTTGACCACTTTTTACTGCCTACACACCACCGTCAGTAATGCGATGATCACCACTATTATTATTCCATACCATCAACACATACTGTTATTCTGTATAGTTGCTGAAATATGACACATCTTTTTTTATCATATAGTGTACAATAGGTCAAGCCGGTCAAGGTTATTACATCTTAAACTTTCTAAAGCTAAGTAATTACGTGACAATTATAATATTTACGATTGCATGGAACTCTTTTTATTATTTATTTAATAGTATCTAATTGAAATAAAACATGTATTACAAATAACTTAATTAATGTACATTATCATTTGCTTCAAAATTACGTTTGTTAAATTATTATTAAGCAAGAGAGAGAAACAACCGTTTAATAAAATGAATAAAACAATTTAAAAAAAAAAAAACCGATTGTTCAGGCAAAATCAGCTGTTGTAAGTAAATTATATGTGATAATGGGAGGGTCAATTCGACCCCAGTGACCGCTCTTCTATTATTAACAAGTTTTATCACACCCAATTGAGCTAATCCTGTCTAATTTTCTATAAACTAATTTAGGTAAAATTTGATCTTGCTCTAATATACTCAAAAACGTATTTTTGGAGACGTAAGATTTTTGTAATGTACCTAGTAAATAGTTTAAACTAATTTCAAGTAGCAAGAAGTTTATAAACTTTTCTTTCACTAAAATACCTAAAAAAAAAAATAATATTTCTAATTAAGTAAAAATAAAAAAAAAGAAACAAGTAAAACAAATTTAAAATAAATGTCGGTAGAATAATAGTATTTCAACGACGAATACCATTTATAAATAATTAATGCATAGAATATAATAATAATTACAAAACAAACAATAATTTTACATTTATATAACAATGATAAACGTTCTTATTCAATAACGATTAACAAATACATTTTAAATAGTTTAAAATTAAACACTTTTACGTTAGTATATATCATAAAAATCGACTAAAAATCCAGGAATATAAATGTGTTATAAGCAAAAATCACTATATAAATGAAATGAACAATATTTGTACATATATTAAAATGAACACAATTATAAAATAAAGATTTGGCAAATAAAAAAAATAAATCAATGATGAATATGCTTTGTGTTCAGTTATACATTGTTTCCTAGTTTAATTAGTTGATTATAGAAAGCTAATTAGTCCATATCTGACTTGTTAAAAAATATAATTATATATAATTATTTATTATAATTGTATTATCAATTTAATTATTTAATTCGGAGACAACTTTATATTTTAAATGTATGTAAATATTTTGTAAAAAGTAAAATGAAACACAATAATTAAATTATTTATGGTGTACATAATGGTATATTTTTTAAGTTACTTTGTTAAAAAGTCGCAATTAGTTCACTATTATGATAATTAATTGATTCATATTGAACATTGTTTTGTGCCCTTGTTTTCTGGTATAATAGTTCAACAGCATTCTAAAATAATTATTCATTATCACCAGAACCACTAACAACGGAAGAGTCGTTTGACGAAGGCAAGGAAACGGTATCTTCATCTTTGGTGTTTTTCATATTTTTTAACACTAATCTTATCTCGTTTATAGTTTTTTCTACGTGATCAAATCTTGCTATAAAGTTTTCTAATATTTCTGCGCATGTCTTTTCACTTACCTCCGAGTTGGCTACGATCACCGTTTTAGCTTCTTTGACGATATATTTATCTAAATAGTATCCCCGACAATTAGTAAAACAACCGACTTCGTTTTTAACGCTTTTCCTTGCTAAGGTCCCGAAATTGACCATGTTCCTTTGATTGGGTAGGATTCTTATCTCAGAATCTTGAAGAGCATCTGGGAATAGCCTTATTTTCAGGTAAAATTGTTTGGTGCATATTTTGGAAATTGGCGGAATAACCCTCCTAATACAGGCCATTTGGTTTTCAGAATTTTTAATCCACGAAAACGGATTGCTCACTGCCATTGTTTCAAAGTAGTGGACTAATTTTACTCGAGACACGTGTGCTACGATTTCGGCATCTGCTCGAATAGCCACTGTGTCACTGACTGCTAAGCCGTTCAACAAATTCACTAAGACGATTGCTATAAGAAATATAAAGAACAGAAAAAGAGCGTGACTAACGATTGGATGTAAATTAAATGGTAGCGAACCAAATGTATCAAACTCTCCTGTCAACATTACTATTGTCTTGAACATGGCAGAACTTGGATCGTTAAATTTGTTTTCGATGTCGTTGTCATTTCTGAACAACATATAGAAACTTAGAGCAAACGCAATGATCAGTATCGAGTACCAAACGAGGAACTGCAGGAAGTTCTTGGTAACTCGCTTAAACATCTCCAAATGTGTTGCCAGCGCAGGGTGTCTGCCAACAAGTAGGATAAGTTCTCCCCACGACAGCAAAATAACGATTGCAGAAATCTGATTCCTCCATAATATACAAGACATTTCACACAACATTAGTATTGACGTAAGAACGATCAAACATATTTCAAGCCAGTTCTCCAAGCTTGTCAAATACGTGATTGGAGACGATACCAACTGAAATAGCTCTCGGAATGATAAGGCTATGAGGAATCCTAACACCATAACCCATAAGTACACTGCGGCATCATTGCTATATGGAATCTTGTTTGTGGAAAACTGCGTGACGTTCTCCTGTGTCAGTGACATATTGCTGTTTTGCACTCCTATTTTGAAAGTTAACAGTGTGTATGAAGTTAATAGAGCCCAAAACGCTATGTAAAATGATAAATTTACTTTGTAATAACGTTTGATGGCGAACCATTTCAAATGCAGGAAACTGGTCAACACAGGATGTTTAAGAAGATGCCGGAGTTCTGGTTCTTCACTTATATATAACAATGGAGCGGTTTCAGGTACGCTTTCTGGCTCATAAGTTTGGCCTTCCAACTGTGTTTGAAGGTTGTTGGTGTTTTTTTTATAATCGTAAATTTTAGGCGGACATAAGAAATTGTAAGTAAATATGATTTCATAGTTAACGTCTTTGGGCGACTTCCCGTTGGTTTTGACGCATTTATCCATGTACTCTTCTAATATCTTAGAACTAAGGTCGGCTAGCGGTGGATCTCCTAGAATATTTTTTTTCCCTACGTAAGCCCCATGTTCTAACAGCGTCATTATGTAATCTCGATCACCTACTTTAGCTGCATAATGTAGACATGTATTGCCTTTGTCGTCCTGTTGATTGATGTCGAGTTCGAGTGGGTTGACTTCACTTTTATTTAACAATATGTTGAAACACTTCAAGTGATCGCACAAATCTGTGTTAACATCCAACGAATTGTGATTTTCGTCGGAGCCTTTGACTACTTCGTGTAAAGCTGTACCGCTTTTAGAACTATAATTGATATAGAGATGACTGTTAATAAATAGCTCTACAATATCTGCAAAACCTCTGAACGAAGCTATTAAAACTGGAAATTTCTTGTTCGATATGCACGTGGCATTTGGATCAGCGTCAAGTCGAAGAAGTAGTTTGACAACTTCCGGTAGACCAAAATCGCAGGCGTATTGTAGGTAGGTATGCCGGCCATCGTGCGCGTTCAGATCAGGTTGTTTCAACGAAGATATATGAGATATGAATCCTTCTGGGTCGTTTGAGTACAGGAACGCGAAAGGATTTTCACTACGTTCGACCACTTTCCTTGCACCTTCAGACGGCATGAGTTCTATTAGATCTGGATACTTCTCTTTGATTATATTTCTTACAGGTTTATCCCAAACACACAAATCCAAGTCAACCTCAGGGCATCTAAAAAAATTAGAACATTACAAATAGATTGTTAAAATAACATAATAGTTAATTCATTACTTGATGAACACCTTTACTGCTTTTTCGTTACTACTTTTCGACGTGGCTGCTAAGTACGCCGGAGAAAATCCTTTTCGGTTTAACTGATTGGCTTTTACACCATCAGCGTCCAACAACAACTCTATACATTCTACATTCCCAGTTTTTGCCGCGAGGTGCAGAGCTGAATTTCCATCACCATCCAATAGATTGACATTAATAGGAGGATGGTTCAGTAGTACATTTATCGTATCTTTACATCCGTTAGCCGCTGCTAAGTGTATAGGAGCTTTTTTTCTATTTTTGTTCATTACGTTCACTTCCATTCCAAATGACAACAGCAATTCAACAAACTCGGACCTACCGATGGACGAGCTACATATGTCCAGTATATTTCCATGGTAAGGCTCCTCGTACTCGTGTTCTAAATCTATGGACGAATTGTCTAGGCCAACTTCTAGCAATCTTTTGAATAAGGTCAAATCATTAGACTGAATGGCGCTAAGAAGATGGTCGTATGGTCCAATCGTCCGCGCGTCTTTTAACTCCATATCCGACATCGTTTGCAAGTAAGTTATCTAAACAAAGCGAATAACTTATTTACCATAATAATTTAAGTATTAGAAAAAGAGACATACCTATTGTTGTCTAATCAAAAGAGACATGAACTGGAACAGGAGTTGAATACTTGTTATTCGCATGACGGCATATAAGGCACCTAAATGAAATAGCATCAATTAAAAATTACTATTAATATCTCATTATCAACATATACGCTTGAACACAACCGCTATTAGTTTTTCACATAAATATTAGTGAATAGTGATATAATTATAGTCGCGGTGTTTTATGATGTACGTTTTTCATTAGGCATTTGTATCCATGGAAATGTGCGTCCAAAACAGGACATAAAACGACAGTTCGCTGATCGAATATTTTCAGGAACACAAATGATTAACATCAGCAAAAGTATCAAGTAAAATAGTATATTATATATAAAGTATAAACACACGCAACTATAATTATATCACTATACACTAATATTTACGTGAAAAGCTATACAATGTAATTTAAATAGTATGTATATATTAATATATTACATAATAATATAATGTGGAGTAACAATACTCCCTTGACTTTATGAGTAGTTGTAAAATAGCTCATTAAAATATACAAAGACAAGTCGTTACATTTAGTCAAAATTGTTGTCTATATAAATCATTTTATAGTACTATAGAAAAATTGAATGAATTTTGTGGTACAAAATATAATATGCTTAATAGCGATGATGTAATGGAATCCCGCCTTGGAATTAGTAGTATTAGAAATACATAAATCAGCATCCGTTACGTCACGTCTATGATAAGGTTTGTTTTTTTACGTCCACACTAACCAAAACATTAATTTTTTAGCAATTTCCTATAAACGTTCCCTATCTAACAAGCCAATTTTTTTTTCAATTTATTGCAGCGTGTTATTTGTAGTTATTTTTATAAACCACTCGCGCTATTTCAACTTATATTACACTTAATTATTTATGTATTTTTTTAAATAAATAATACTAGTATGTTAGTATGTCAAAATGCATCCATTATTAGTTACTAATGTATCAATATACGATTAACATAATAACAAGGCCTTCGAGATATTTTGAAATTTGTCCAATAATTTCTTAATTTTCTAATGTATTTACTATAAATTTGTTTTATATGTCTAATTTTGAAGAGTACTTACAACAAATATCTTAGACAGCTGGTTACTTTTTTGCACCACTAAATGTACGAAAATGTAATGTATGGTAATAGAACAGCACTATTATGTGGTACTGGTTGTATGTGGGTTTGAAGTGAATGGATGTAACACTCGCGTTTCTCTATCGCACACCGTGTTGAGCACAACTGAAATGATTGTGGAACCAAACAAGTAGCTATTCATGCTACGGGCTCTACGTCGATGCATGCAACACAGTACAGGTTAACTGATGCCCCACCACAGTGTAGAGAGTTACCGTGCAACATATTTTATACCGAATGTGCTGGATCTGTTCACTGAATTCAGTTTGGATACTGCGACGAACCTATTTTAATTATATTCAATGCCGTCGCCATTGTCAAACCAATTTAGTAAACCACGGGTGTTTTTTTTAAGTATGTACCATGCAACGCGTAAATACAGAAATCATATATTGAATCAGCTAACTATCCCATAGGTAAAACACAACTAGAGTATGAAACTATCATTGTTAACAAGATATTTTTGCCTTTTAACTCATTTTCGTCTTTATCACGTCTAATATAAATACAAAAAAAAATCCATCGTATCTTTAAACTAATATTATAGGTGAAAGTAAAATTATTTAACTCGCTCTATATTATATAGTAATATTTCAATTATTTTTTTTAACAGTTAAGCTACAGTATTCGTAAATGTTATATTTTTATACATTTATACACAATGGCTATTCTACATTAGTTTGTTATGGACACGCGTTTGTTTGTTTTGGTTTGTAATGTACTAATATATTTTATGCCATTGCATTTTAATTACTCGTGAATTTTAGTTATTCAAGAAAACGAAAATGAATACAACTAATATATTTAAGTAATTCAGTAGTACTTCATAGATTTTCTTTACTCTTATAATAACAAATTATAAACCCTAATAAATGTATTGGACTTAATAGAAAACAAATACCACACGCATATCATAGAAAGTTTTTCGAAGAAATTGTAGAAGAAAGGAAATTAAAATGTCAAGCAGTCGCCAGAAAATTGTACTTAAAATCAAAACGAAAGTATGATGTATTTAGATCAAAACAAAGCAAGTACATTTTAATCTTGTTTTTTTAACATTTACAATATAATAATTGATTTGTATTTTTCTATTGTTTTAAGATGCTTCTTTTAAAGTTAACGAAAAGGATGTTAACGAACCCCCTTGGTATCATGAGCTATCTAACTATCAGGTTAGACGCGTAAATAAGAAATATTATTCAATAATGTATGCAATAAAAGTACATATTAATTTTTTAAAAAAATAAGGTTTTTTTCAAAAATTATATTCTGTGGAATGAGTCGTATGCGATAACTAATATTATTAATTTAAATAAAATATTGACCATTAAATATACTGTAAGTAGTTCAACTAAGTTACATAAACATATGGCATTGGATAGCAATAAAAATATTGTTTGGCCTTGATTTATCTATAAAGAATAGTTATTTTTAACTATATTATTTCTCCATAAAACTTGTAACAGATGAATACATTACATGAACTGCGGTATCTTATAGAACGAGATTACAAAGAGAGTAGTGTTAAAAGAACGAGAATTGCTCTATTAAAGCTCGGCGTAAAAACAAAAATTCCCAAAAATGTGATTTACGATGCAATTGTTTATAGCAAATTGTATCCTATTGATTTTTTACTAAAAATAAAAGAATATGTCATGGAAAAAGATACCGGAACAACCAATAATAGTAAATATTTTAATGGATGTATGTTTAGTTTTAACATGAATATGCCTTGTGGCTGGAGTCTGTCAAAAAATTTGCAATATACGTCACACTCCTCGCCTCGTTATGAGAAAGAGATAAGAGATAAAAGATAAGATCCAGCTTGGTGGGACGATAGAAGAGAATGTAGGAGACTATAAGTAAAGGAGAGAATAAAGTAGAAATCCCTCCCCTCCCCTGATATTTACCAACTGATCCACTTACCATATCCGTCCTCTCCCAGTCAACATGCTTGAAGCGAAACGAAAGTTAAGTTTACATTTAAATAATAGAAAAGTATGTTTTTTGATTTGAATGTGTCATATACTCGTCTTGAATCCTCCCAAGTACCATTATATATATTCATGATCTAATGTCTTTCCTTCAAGGGAAAAGCTAACTCTTTTCATAACGTTATTATTTTTATAGATCCACTGATGTATTCATTTTACGCCAAGCTTATTACAACTGGAATAGTGTATCTAGGAATGCCGAGTCTATTATCAAAACTTGATTATTGCCTGAGCGATCCAACCCCAGATCCAAAATGTAAATATTTTATTACATGGACTACTTTAAAACTCTTCAGTATTATTTTTTAGTCGAGTACGTTGAAAAAAAGAGTGGCTTGCATTCCAATTATTTATCGCCTTTTGTGGAGCCACCCAAAATACTTCAAACGATTTGGAACAAAAATGAAAAAATTAAAGCACATAATTTGATTGTAAAACAGCAAAAACAAAAAGAACGAATAAGAAATAAAATAAAACCTATCAAGAGACATAATGAAGTATGATACCGTACACTATATTACGATTGACTTCAATTCACTTCTTGTTTATCGTAGGAAACTAAAATTAAAAAAATGGAACTAGAAAAAAACCATGGACACTCTTTACATCCTTTAGATATATTATTTTATAAACCTGTTTTAAATGGTGCTTTTCGATCAGCTATAAACTGCAAAGAAAAAGAAGATGAATTTCAAGATGGTAAATAGTGATTGATTATAACTAAAATTACATACTTTTAATTAATTTTAAGTAAACTACATCTTCTTTTAGTTTGTGTGTAAAGTATATACTATGATGCAATACAATTTTAACGCATTGCATAAACATCTGCATAGCATATCGTATGATGGCGAATCTACATTAATTCATAAGTGATATCTATTAACTATCATTTTTCAAACTGACTACAAAACATAAGTTATTCGTTTACATTACGCACAACTAGAATAAGAGAGCACAACATTAAAAAAAAAAAAATTAGTTGATCCTTAACCAGCACCTGCAAAGAAATAACTTTTACTAGATTATAATTTTATCTGGAGGAATACATTATAAAGCATTCCTCCAACCGCTGCAATTAAAATATTTGATCATTATTATGTAATATTAAATGAAGTTTTTTATCTGTATTATTTTCAAACACTAAACAACTCTGATGACTTATATATGGAGGTGAAATATTTAATAAATCATAGAATACATTATGAGACTTATTTGAAATCATTTTTTTAGACAAAGTATTAACCGTTACGTAGAAACTAAACAATTTAGTGTATGACATGAATTTGAATCAAGAGCACCTCAGTACATTTTTTTCTAATCTGTTACACACTTAATACTCATAGCTGTGAGACTGATTTTGAAGTAGCTTAACTCTAAACTATGCGTATAGTTTATAATATAATATCTACTTTATTTAGGTATAAAAAATAAATTGGAAAAATCTATTACTATTGGTGATAATATACTCGTAAAAAATGATAACGTAAACAAATATAGTACTGCTAATAATACACCGAGTTTAACCAATATGGATGACACTCAAACCCTTGATGAAACTCTTAGTTTTTTGCCAAGTTCAAATAGTCGTATGCTTCAGGAAATATGTCCTGAAGGTGTCAAATTTGGCGCTTTAATCCGGTGTGGTTCTGAAAACTTAGAGTTCGAAGATGTGTTCGAAGAATCAGAACTAGAAGAAGAAATTGAAGACGAAGATTTTTCTTTTTTGAATGACGAGGTAATGAATGAAAAAGACTATGAAACTTTTTGTGAACAATACAACTTGGATAATGAAAACCAATTAGTGGGCGATAAGGTAGACACGTACCTTACGCCTAAAATGTTAATTATGAGCATTATGAAGAGTCAGGCAAAACCGGAAGCGTCCATGATACGGATGTTCAACTGTCGTGTTAATGCTTTTCCTGGTTTTAAGCTCCCTACATTAGGTGGTACGGAGGATAACAAAAAAAATCAAAATGATTGCACGGAGTATGATGTTATAAATTACCATTAAAAAATTATCTCAAAAAGAAAATATGTTTACAGCAGAAACGTCAAACGTAAAAGAGTTCATTTATTACTACATGATGAGACGGAGCAAGACAAAACTAATGAAAAAATTGCGCCATTCAATCGAACTTTAGCAGAGTTCACATCCAATCAGTTTATTAACGAAACCATCTCTTTAGATGAAGCGAAAAATGTAATTTTCAACTATAATATTATGGGGTTTTTATTTAGTTTTTTGATACTATCGATGTTGGCTTAAGCTTATGAAGTGGTAACTATTATCAGCTATATTTTTTTAAGGATACCGTTCATATCTACGATGAAGTTTTGGCGGAACTTCGAAACCTCCCATCGTGTACACAGTTTAAAGTAATAAAATACGTAGTTATAAATATTGTGATTTTATAGATATTGACCCATTTTAGGCGATACTTGAGTTTTTAGCTATACTAGGAGACCCAGTAGCTGGCTTGCCAAAATTAACTCATTTGGAAGTGTTGAAAAAATGGTACGAATCTCGATTAAATCAACACAAACCTTTAACGAAGAAACGTAAAGGTAAGTTAAATGGCATATGTACAACTTAACTATTTATATGACGTGCAGTTCATACATAACATTACTCTGACTATTCAGCGGAACTTTTAGAAAGCTCAATGCGTTTGTGGCATATGCCCAAACCTAAAAAGCAAACAGTATCGATTTCGCTTAATCCAATCGACAAACATGGTAGTAAAAGGGGAAAAAAATTAACGTGGGACAATGAAAAGATGACTTCCAATATAGTTTATGCAGAAAAAGAAGACTTTAAACAAAAGATGAAAGCGTTACGTTTGAAAAAGGCCAAATACTTGTATGCTACGTTGAAAACTGTGCATTACAAGAATAAGCTAAACGCAGAATTTAAGAAAACTTTTTATTGTTATTTCCCTGCTAAAGAAGATGACTGTATTTTTGTAAAATTACCCAATTATCTTAAATCTCCGCACTCAAGAATAATTAATACAAAACCGCGAAAATAGAAATAATAAATATGTACATGCTTAAATTATTTATAAAACGCTTTTGTAGTGATCACATTTCTGTTGTTCTCCAAAAAAAAACATGATGGCAGCGTTGGGTGTTTAAGGCCTGTTAAGCTTCATGATGGTGATCATTTTTTATTAGATATGTGAAATGATTGCAAATCTTCCCAGTATACTCATATAATATGTGAACATAAACAGCTCTGTATATACAATTAAATAGGTTAAATTGATAATATTTTTATTTCGCACTCTCCTTCGTGAGATCTTGTGTAACGATAGATGCTCTATTCGGTACCTAGTGAAACTATTGTTGGTGAACTGTACACCTTTTAACTATTATGATTATTATCACTATTCACTTGCAAGTTGAAATAATAATAAAGATGACAATTTTGTATAATATTTATATTAGTACATGTATAAACTATTCAGTCTATAGTTTCGTGTGCGATTTTCTGTAATATTTGTCTAAAAACTTCCACGCTGACTTGGTCATTATTTCCGTCGCATTGGTAAGCATAATTCCACACTTTGTTAAATATTTCATCTGGTAGTACCACTCCGATACTTTCAAGTATGTCTTTAATTGTTGTTTTATCCCTACCCTAAAATGTTGGACGCCAGTAAATCAAGCGTTATACTATTATCGTGTTGCAAGTTACTATGTAGAAGTCTCTATAAGTCAGTCCGTAGTTTGAAAAGATCGAAGGATTTAACAATGTTTTAACATCCGTTTCGTACCCAAAGCAATCTCGATAAGCCAATATCGGAGGTTTCACAGGTTTATACACAACTCTAGCACCTAAAACCGCAAAATATATTATTACCTGTGTAACAATACATAAACTATAGGTCTCAATAATACTGTTTTTTAACACGAGACTTTGACTAATTCCGTCATTTTCGTAGTCGGTCTTATAAGAGGTTTTAAATCTTTCTGGCTCGATAGTTTTATAATTATTAAGCGCATCTGGGAGACATACGTTTGGATCAATCAATTCCATAAACACTTTATAATTTACATTATTCTTATCGATTGCATTTAGCATATTTAATGCCCGCTCAAATACATTTCTTTTTGGTCTTATTCGATAGGCATAAGATATCGCATATACCTGGTCCAAAGGTAGCAATCCAGACTGTTCCTATGCGTGTAAATGATGCGTATCATGTCGAGTAAACATCAATTTTTAAAAAATTTAAAAAAAAAATTAAAAAATTTAAATATGTGTTTAATATTTAATTTACATATTTATATATTTATTATGTATAATACCATTTAATTCACCTAAAACGAATTGAAACAAAGTGATAATATCGTAAAACGTAGAACACTATGATAATGATACTAAATATTTTTGTTCGATAATGTTTTAACCAAAAATAAAATAACAAAATATATTTGTATTAAATAGTTTTGAAAAACATATTGTAGATTAAATACATTTTACTTTTTGAAATACTGTTAACACAATTAAATACCGTATCCATTTCCGCGTAGGTTTCTCGAATTTTTCTTAAGTCACACTTTCGTTTTTTTACGTAGTTTTTTAATTTATTAATGTTGACTAAACATTCGTTTTGAAGAAACTCGTTTTCGTTTGGGTCGTTGCCAGTTAAGGTGTCCCAAGCTCCAAAATAGGATCTTCCGGGAAACTTCCCTTGTCGATAATCCACATATGGAAAACGACAGTCATTACTCTCAACGCTGAAATATCGACATTTAATTTAGTACAAATCTGACGGTTACTTAAAAAGTATGGGCATACCTTTCTAGTACTTTGACGATTTCTTTGATACCCTGATTGGCATTTTCAATACTCGAGGATTCATCTATATTCTGCTTGAACCATATCCCAGCCGGTAGAATTTTATTTAAATTTCCATAACGGTTGTTCGGATCAAAATGGTTTGTATATCTAGTATAAGTTTTATACTCAACAGTCTACGTACTTAAAACAAAAAATAAAAAAATATTATATAAACCGTTGCAACTAACCTCCGTTTTAGTTGCTCTCCCGATTGAAAACCGTGATGGGACACTTCATACAACTTAGCCCCTAGCCTGTCTTCTTGGAATATTTGACCTGGTAATTTGTGCGGGAACACTACGTCTCCTAGTGGCATTGCTAAAATAATATGGGAAGTACATTATAAACAAATTACAGTGCTTTTGCCGTTCTTCAGTACTATTTAAACAACATAATTACTTAAAATATATCCGCAATTTTCCTTGACTTTAAGTATTTATACAATTGTAAACCTACCCCCACAGAATACTTAAATTTTACAATAATGTGTACCTTTTGTTTTAATTCCATACACGGTTTCTTCGTTAACGTGCTTAGGCAAATGTGGATCGTTAAACATTTTTCTTCTAGCCAATATATCTTCGCACGTATTTAGCGAACACTACATGACGTTTTACATGTAATACTGAATACATAAGAGTATAATAGTTGGTTTTAACAACACATACTCGAGAAACTTGAGATGGCTCCAGACATTTGCCATGTTTGTACTGAAAATCGCCCAAACGTGATTCCTCCATATTTAGCCAATACAAATTTCTTAATTTCCATAGAACACCTACTATACAATTAATAATGAATTCATTAAAACAATTATGTTTCTTTAAGTTACGTTGCCGAGTGACTGTTGTGAGGTAATTGTTGATTTGGTGACTACGCAAAATTGCTTTTTAACAATGAAATAATTATTTGTTTATTTTTTATATAGATATGAAAATTGTTAGGAAAATTCTTTTGCGTCAAAAATACTAAATGATTTCTAACTCTGTGGCACAGTTCTCCGCAGGCACTATTCACGCAACCTCGGGTAACGAGAGGACAAACATAAAACGCCAAGAAGTAATGGATTGGATCAAAAAAAGGGCACCGCATTCTGATGTTGATGACGACTCGGAACCAGAAAAAATACTTGACGCTTTGATCGCGTGTACACCCACCGAAAAGTCAATTATCGTTAAAAAAAAAAAGGTACACGATTTAGAAGTACAGTTTGAGTCGATCAACAATATACCTAAAGAAATAATCGGTGAGATGGACAAAATTCACCGTTTAGACGAAGGTAGAATACATCACGAAAAGAGAATACGCTTTATGGAAAATATTCTAGGTAAATGTAGTAACGCTATATAGCCGTATAAAAGAATATGACAATAAAAGATGTAATAATTTTGTTTTTACAATATTACATTATTTTAACGTGTACTGGATAGTACTAAATGCTAAACTGACCGTGGTCATTGTTGCCAAGTATAATAAGTAATAACTAATATGGAAAACAATAATAAAAAGAGTTAAATACGCAATAATATGACCCCTCAGTTATCTCATAGTTGAAGAGCAGACAGTGCACAAAGAACGCAACGTAATTATATTTTTTCAGATCATTTTTTTTGACGGTGTCTTTACTACATCAAATATATATATATAAATATATAATACTCGATAAAGTTACTTGTAAAAAAAAAATAATATATGCGTAATAGAAAATTAAACAAAATGGTATTACATTTATATTATTATAGTACGAGGTAAAGGTTGATATTATTTCAAAAATGTCAAATAAGTACTTATATTATTATAAAACGTTTTAACTTTCAATGTATACTGGAAGCGTCAAAAAAGTAAAATACAAACAAAAGTGGAACAGGGAGTTAAAGTAAAATTATATTCTACTATTTGTGTCAGGGAAAACAAAAGCAAAACATACAACAACATAAAAAACCACTATTTACAATACACAATGAAGTACTTTACTTGGATAAAAATATTTGAGTAGAGGAATTGAAATAGCATAATGTTAATGTGAAATACTTTTTCCATTAGTTTGCTGTTGTTTTTAGGTTCTGTATAAAATAAGTTATTGTTTTTATTCAGAATGACTAAACAGGCAATTTTTAAGAATAGAACAAAATAAACAACATCATATATTACGTATATATTATTATACAGCGGTAACTATATAACTAAGATATAGTGGGTATTTTTTTCATTATTCCAAGTATAACGCTCAATACATAGTTTAGGAATAACGACTATTTTAACATTTTTAAATGACTGTAACTTTTCAATAAATGAATTTTTTTTTAAAACGCACCTTAATGCCCTTCGGAATATTGTTTTATTTTAATTTTATATGGGTGCTTTTACTCTAAAACCAAAACTAAGCGAGTTATTTTCAGTTCGCGTAAACATGTTTTTACCTCTGAAAATTACCGGTGCGACGATAACAAACCTAAGAAAATGTTAGTATTGTATACACCAGAGCAAATGTCAAAAGACCAATTGATTATCTTGGTTCCATTCATATTATTAATAAAAATCATTTTTTATTTGTGCAATAAAAAATAAAATACTGGACACATTTTATAAAAAGGAAATTCGTACAATGACATAATAGTTTTTGGTATTGATTAATGTGTTATAATTCACTGTATATCGCCAGCTTACAAATAAAACTCACTATTGAGAAGAAACAAGAAATTAAATAAACGACATAGAAAAAAATGCTGATATTCAAAGCTACCCGAAATGTTTTAGTTAGGAACATTTTGAATTATTTTAACTATTTTGCTTTTTTTTTATATGAATAATATTAAATATACGAAAACAAAACAATCAAGTGATTAACGTCGTTTTCAGAGTGTTTCTGCCAAAAAAATGTTCAACTCTCATTCAAGAGAAATATGCCACAGTGAATTTCACTTATTTATTATGATAAAATTGATATAACTTAATATATTCAAGGAACACGCTAAACATACTTTTGTTGAAAGTGTTTCCATACTCAGATTTACCTTGACGACGTCTAAAAATGCAACATTGGCATTAGATTGGCAATAGTGCTTATTGATGAATTTAATCTGGGCACAGAATTGGCATCACGGTGTAGGCTCTGTAAAGTTGAAAAGTGTATTCATAATAGTATAAAATATTCTTTCACTCGTCCCAGGAAATATCAAGTCGTCCTAAACCCGGTTATGGCCAGTTTTTTTATTCAATCATTGTTCTTAGAGAAGTAGAAATCCTTTTACACTTGAGATGTTTTCTATGAGCGCAAAAATGTCTAGCTTTTATACGATTACTTATGGTAAATGCATTGAAACACAAGCAAAAATGTATCAATTCGTATATGGTTTTGTAGTTCTGTGTAGTCCCACATACATTGTTCAGGTACACCAACGTCTCTTTTTTCCGGTATCTCATTTGCAGGCGGACATTGCTAAGATAAATAGATTCGTGCATATCTTTTATAGTAAATCTCTTGGCACAAAGCCTCTCACGTAGCATTTCCTATAAATTATTTCGGATCAAACCTCGGTGTTTACTTATTAAATAACACTATTATAAAGGTATTATTGGCTTATATTAACATCCAAACAACTACAGAATTCATGTTGGTGACTAAAAACCATTGTCGCAGAACGACTATGCAGGAGGATACTAAAAAGTGTTTCTTCGTAGTATATGCTGCTAAGATGCACTTTTGTAATATATAACTACTTCTTGAATCTCCATTTATTACAATTTTTTCTTTTATCTTATCCAAAACCCTAACCACTATAATACCATAACCGGAACAGTTGGACGTGGGCTTTATGATCCAAGTACTTGTGTTTCCGTCATGTTATTTTGCGAACGATATATGCCCACACAGTCTATCGAATATACTTTGTATCTTGCAAAAAAAAATATGTTCTTATTATATCTTCTTTAGACCTAAAGTAATTGTTAATTATAAATTACAAGTATTAAATGCATAAAATCTTTTTAGGCATTACATCATAATATAAGTAAATATGTTTCGAAAATGCATAATTATTATAAATGATTATTTCTATTTGATAGCTGTACTCGTTACGAAAATTACCATTGCTATTGATCAATTTCCAATAATGACTCATGAGATCTTTCCATAATTCTGTTTGATTTTCAAACATCCACATGTGTTGATTAGTAAATCCAGTCTTATAATGTACTTGTAGATACGCCGTTGTACGAAATTAATCATTTTATTTCATAAAACTATTACGTTTATCATGGAAATACTCGTAGGTTACATTTAGTACTAATAATGTATACAGGCATGATTAATACACATATGATTAAAAAGATTAAATTAAAATATTTTATTATTCACTCGCATTGCTTATAACTACTCCGATTATAAAACCATTTCATGTAAACCTATTATACATTATAATGAATGAATAGTTCTCCATTGTTTCGAAATTTAACGAGCGTTTTTTTTCATTCGTTAGCTTTGACTTATAAATCTATAAGCGTCAAGTTGTAATCTTATAATTTGAATTTCGGTAATTACAAAATTAAATGAAATACTTAAAAAAGCTGCGAAAGAAATCATTAAAATATGGAAATAAACAATAAGAATAATTTGGAAAACATTTTAGTCTTAATTTTTTGTTTTTCGCCAAAACCCTGGCTAAACAATGCCTTGAACGGTATATCCGATAATCATCATATTTTCTTTTATATTTTGATGTACAAACATAAAGTTTCAAGTTTAGTAATGTGTATAAAGCGCGAATAAACAGCGCGTCATAATGAATTAAACGCAAAAGTTTATTACGAAATTTCCGTGTTCCACATTTACGATGTGCCCTGGTTTTGGTAAAATAACTTGCTTTAATTGCTTTTATCGTTTGATGAGTGACGCTGCTGGTCTAAGTATCCGAGTAAGTTCACTGTTCAGCGTTGTATTTAACGCACGAAAATCCAATAAACACGTACCTAACACATTTTCACCAGTGTTTTCTGGAGCTAATTTATATACATTTTCAAATTTAGCTGATATGTATTGCTTCGAGCTTTTCATTTTCGATTCCATTAATCGGTTGAGTATTCACCAAGCAGTAATCACGTTCACAACTATACTCGCGCAAAGTTATTTTTCTTTACTTCAGAAATGTTGTTAAATAGTTTTTTTGTATTAGAAATAACTTTTTCCATCGTTTAGTTTTTTACTACAATAATTCTTTGCTGCGACGACTTACGTTGTGCCGATGCTATTTGGGGGTAACTTTGATTTAATCTGTTTGAAGTTATTATTTATTTTAGTTATCCATCAAAATTTCTTATTTTATGTGATTGATAAATAACTTATTTGTATTTTATTAATGGGTGGTATTATTATTAACATCCGAGTTATAATTTATTAATTGATGAATATTCGCATGTTTTGCTATGCTATTTCGTTCTTTAATCCTATATGTATATATATATATATATATATATATATATATATATATATTATATATATATACATTACAATTTGAGTGTTATACCCTAAACATGTTTTTTTTTTCTAAGTGTTAAATCACAGTTGTTAACTAGTTTTTTGTGTTTCATAATTTATTGTTTGCGCCACGCAATCGACTAGCGTGTAAAACAAGTGGACTGTATAAATCGGAAAACTCTTTGGTTACACTTTTTAATATTTTTAATAATAATAACACATAATTCTTATCTAATTAAAAAATAACCAATTTATTGTTCATTAACA